ATAATAATAACTAACAACTGCTCTTCTCTTCTTGTTGAGGGAGAGGGATAGAGAGCACATGTGGATAGAGGGAGTTTTCACACTAGATTTAGATTACAAAGAAAACTCAGAGAATGAGAAAATAAGCGTAGTTCTGGAACTTCTACTATGTATCGGTTTCTGTTACATGTGTCATTTCATTGATATCTCACAGTGACTCTATAAAATACATGTCACCATTTACTTCTACAGAAGTGGAAAATTAGCTCCTCATAAAAGAAGTTTCACAATTAATGTTGACACGAGCAATGATCTAACAGGTGACAACAGACAAGTGCTAAATATTCAGGATTTTGATTGGTAGTTTAAAGGTGACTGCAGTGGGAGCTCTGGTGGCCTAGTGGCAAGAAGCTGCATTACAATCCCAGAGGCATGCGGTTCAAATCCACCAGCTGCTCTGTTGGAGAAAGAGGGACAATCTCCTCCTGTACCAGTCAGATCCGATTTGACGGTACACACAAATTAAAAAAAAAAAAAGGGTGACTACAACAGGAATATTTACACCATGAAAAACAGCAATAGTTGAAAAACAGACTGTTTCCTCGCCTCTCATACATACTCACATGTCCATGTTTCAGAGCTGGTTGACTACTTCACTATTCTGAGCTTACTGAATTCCAGGGCATGAATTCAAATCCAGCATGACATACAAAACACATCGTCATTCTTTACTTCCAGGTTTACAAAGTCTTTGGATTTTAATAATAAAGTTCTAAAGCAGAGCTATGCAATAGATACAAATATCTAATAGTGCTTACAGACTTTGCATTACGATAATTTGCTTTAATCATGTCTTACATGATTTTTTTCCTCCAAATTACATTACCTTCTTTATTTTCTTGAGAGTTGAAGCCGTATTTTGTCTATCTTGTGTTTTTACCCATATTTGCTTTAGTACTTGCCAGAAGGACAAAATTAAACTGGATTATCTCTCTGTTTCTATCAGTTATTCCATCACTAAATAAGAATAATGAAGCAAGGAAACAAAGTTAACATGCAAGGCAGTGTTTTATTAGGGTGGGAAGACCTGGGAGACACAGAGCAATGCTATTTGTCTCTTCTGGGATAGAGGAGGGAGTGCATTTTTGAAGGATCTCAGTGCAGGTTTTAAGAGTTAACCTATCAAACTGGAAAGATCATACTTTTTATTTGTAGCAGAAGGAGGAAATCATCTTACTGACCATGTAAGGCTGTTTTAGATGGGAGCAGTTAAAGTACTTAAACATGAGCTCAGTTCTTCTTTCAAGATGACTAAACTTAGGAAGTGTCAGAAACATCTTTCAAGATGGCTAAACTCAGGAACTTTAAGAAGCATGCATGTGTTTGTTAAAGATGACCATCTCTTCTCAGAAACATATATTCAGTTTTCAAGATGGCAATTTCCAGATGAGGTTTCTCACCTGGGAACTCTGTTATGGGGTGGTTTTCCTAAACACCAGATGTCAGTCTTGTTGGTGCCTGAGAAGGGGGGGAAATGGTACCTAGCAAGGAGAGAGTTCTTGCTGCTGTTAGTTCTCATCCTGTGGACTATGTATGACTCAAAGGACTCTTATTGTTGCCTTGATGCCCTAATTTCTTCCATCTTCACCTGGCTAAAAAAAGAAATCAGATGAGAGAGAAAAGAGGGGATGATATTTGAACTACAAAGTAGCATAGTGTACAGCAATTTTATTATCCCTAACAGACTTGGTTTTAGTGTACAGAAAGCATGGATGCTCTTCAGAGTAATTGCTCAACTTGTTGAAGTAGATCTGAAGTGGGCCAAGCCCTTGTTACAGCTCACAGACTCAACAGGGTATCAGACTTGCCAAGGAGAAAGGTGAAGAGACAAAGATGAATGTGAAAGTAAAGGCAGTTTATGAGCAAAAAAATACACTCCTGAGAGAGGAGTGGGTCACTTTCAGTGAAAAGCAAAGTGTGGAAAGGCCATTGTGCTTTAGGGAGATGTTTTTACTATGTTTTGTGACTTATAGCAGCCCTGTGTTCAACAGGTCTGAACCCCTACTCTATCCTGAGCCAACTTTATCAGTCTCTGACACACTTACACCCATTAGTCCATCTCATTGAGGGTCTTCCTCTTTGCGTTGTTCTTCCACCCTCCCAAGCATGACATCCCTCTCCAAGGACTGGTCCCTCCTTGCATCATGCCCAAAGTATGTCAGACGGAGCTTCAGAGTCCTTGCCTCCAAGGAGCAACCTGGCTTCATCCTCTGCAGGATGAACCTGTTTGTTCTCTTAGCTGCCCATGGTATATTTAATACTCTTTTCCAGCACCACAGCTCAAAGATATCAATTCTTCTGTCATCCCAAAGTCATTGTCCAGCTTTCTGATGCATAGCCCAGAATTGTAATTTGCTTTTATAAGCCCTTAGAATGAGTTTATCCTTTCTTTATCTTGTTGTTGGTTTTGTTATGTGCCATTGAGTAATGACCAACTCATAACTGACCCTTCAGCAAGTTTTCAGAGGCAATAAATGACATGAGAGAAGATTGCTCATCCTCCCGTAGAGCAGCTGATAGATTAGAAGTGCTTGCCTTTGGAACTGCAGAGCACTTTCATAAGATCAGAAGCTCGGTATCTGTCAAAAATTCTTTATACTTGCCCTTGTGTCATTTCACCGGAATTTTTTTTTTTTGTCCCTAACACGATGAACAACAGAACTGAAACTTGCCCTATCGTACATCATCCTCATGATCTCTGATATACCTGGGCCCATTGTGACTGCTGATGGCATTTAACAGCATTATGACAGAAACTGTGTCAATCTATCCTTTTGAGGATTTCCTTTCCTTCTCTGATCCTCTTGCCTTCCCAGCATGATGCCTTTTTCCAATGACTGACCCCTCTGACAATATGTACAAAGTATGTTGAAAATGTGAGAGAAACTTTTACCACCCATGTGTCTAAGGAACACCCTGGTTGATATTTGTGCAGGACAGACTTGTTTGTTCTTTTGACTGCTTCTAGGATATTCAGTATCCTCCTCTAGCACTACAACTCAAAGGCATGAATTCTTCTGTCATTCTTCTACATACTCAACTTTCGTATTCATAAGAATTAATTAAAAAATTAGTCACACCTTAATCTTCAAATACACATCCTTGTTCTTTAGAACTTCAGAGAGGTCCTTGACAACAGATTTTCCCAATGTAATATGTCTTTTGATTTCTTGACTGTTCTTGACTGTTATTATTTATGTTAATTGTGAATCTAAGTAAAATGAAATCATTGATAAGTCATTGTTCCATCGATCATGATGTTGTCTGATGGTGAGAATGTTTTCTTGAGGTTGAGATGTAATTAGTATTGAAGATAGTAGTTTTGTTTTGTTTTTTTATCTTCTATAGTAAGTATTTCAAGTCCTCTTCACTTTCAACAGACAAGGTTGTATCATCTGCAGCTTGTTGATGAATCTTTCAATCCTGATGTCACATTTTCCTTTTTATAATACAGTTTCTCAAATGATTTCCTCAGGATACAGATTGAATAGGTCTGATGAAAGGATATTACCCTGTATGTAACTTTCTGGGTTTTAAATTATTCTCCTATTCTGTTAGGATAACAACTTCGTGGTCTGGGTATAGGTTTCTCCTGCACACTAAGAAGCAGGATTGGCCATATCCTTCTGAAATAACAGCCCTTCAAAAGTCCTATGAGTAACAGAGAAACATTGTAAGCAAAAACATTAGTTAATTGATAACTGAAGTCTGCATTTTAGATGCCTGTGTAGAGAGCAAGCCTAAAACAGAAACAGAGACTGACAAGATTAATTGATAACTGAAGCCTGCAGTTTGTAAGATTTTTCTTCTTTTTTTACCATGTTGTTGTTAGATGCCATAAGGTTGTCATGACTTAAAGTGACCTTGTTAAGCTCAATATGAAACTTTGCCCAGTCAGTGACATCTTGCCAACACCAGGCATGCTCAATTTCATTAAAATCACTGTCAATTACAATCACTGTCAATTCAGAGAGTCTACCTCTTCCTCTCTTTCTCTGTTCCTCCACCCTTCTCAGCCTGGTGTCTTCCTCTAAAGACTGGCCCATCTTGATAATGTGCTCAAAGTATGCAAGATGAAACCTCATCATTCCAGTCTACAAGGTGCACTCTGGTTTATATTTTTCCTAAGACAGAATCATTTATTTGTTTCGCAGTCCATGGGACTCTTCTATAGTGGGTTACTGGGAAAGAGAACCCCTAATTTCCTGTCTCAAGATTTGATATATAAAATGTTAACAAAATTGGCCAAGGAGAAGGATTTACATGAACAAGTTTCAAGTCCCATTATCTACCTAAAATTGCATCATGATTATAGTCATATTTTTATCTACTTCCATATGAATAAATTATAACTATAATTTAAATTGCAATTTTGACTTTTGATTTAAAAATATTTCCCTATTACTTAATACTTTCACTGCTGTATGTAACATGACTCCAAGTTGTTATGTGCTGTCAAGTTGCTTGTAACTCATAGTTACCCTATGAACAACAGCTCTATACCTTGCTCTATCTTGTGCCAATCTTATTGTCTCTGACAAACCTACCCCCATTACCTCAGTTACTGAATCAATCAGTCCGTCTCGCTGAGGGTCTTCCTCTCTTGCTCTGTCCCTCTACACTCCCAAGCATGATGTCCCATTTCAAGGACTCTAAGTATACTGTTCAAATAGTTTTGAACATTTCGAAACAAAGGAGAAAAAACCCGATATATTAGTTTCTATAACATAAAGAAGTAAGGAAATAGTATCTGATAAGCCCTTCTCAACCTTGGAGGGGGGGATAATATACAATTTAAGAAAATTTCCCCAAGCATTACTTTATGGTTTTAAAAATAGTATAGTTTTATGTAATTACTAAAACTTTCCAAAGATGAACTTAAGAATGTGAACATTGCTAATGTGTATTTTTAAATAATTGACATAAAGAAAGCTATGTTTTTGTTCTGTTTTCAATTCCAGGGGAGGCTATGGTCATGATGTAGGAAAACGTCCTTGGATTATAGGTGATGAGAGTATCGTAGGCCTTATGACTGATATTGTAGGTAAGTGCAAAAGGCAACAGATCTTTTCCAAATGGACTGTAAATATATCATCTCAGTAATCATAGGTTCTGTCTCTGACCTTGTTTCTGTCACCAAGTGTGGACTTTGCAAATATCCTTCTTTCTTCATTGTATCCAACTTTTAAGTTCCAGTCACCAAATACCATTAATTCATCTTGATTGTTTGTTGGGTCAGTTTCAGATTGCAAAAATGGATAAATATCTTCAATTTCCTTCTCTTTGGCTTTAGCTATTGGTGCATATATATGAATAATAGTCATATTAACAGGCCTTCCTTGCATGTGTATCGATAACATCCTATTACTCACAACATTGTACTTCAGAATAAAACTTGAAATTCTCTATCAGTGTACCATTCTTACTCTGCTTTTCATTCCTAGCATAATATACCATGCGATTGTCTAATTCAAAGGCACCAAAGCCACTCCATCTCATTTCACTAATGCCTAGAATGTTGATGTTTATGTATTCCATTTCATTTTTCACAATTTCTAATTTTCCAATATTTATACTTCATACATTTTCCATGTTCCAACTATTAAAGCATGTTTGAAATGGTTTCCCTTATTTTCATTGACTTCCTGTCTGGGCTACCTTTAATTCTCTATCTATCCATGTTCCTCTGTTAGTAATAGGATTTTACAGAGGCCTGTTATTGCTGAAGTGGATGGTCAATCTTTCTTCCTACTCTGTCTTAATTTGGGAGCTCCATTCAAATCTGTATACCATTGGTGACCCTCCTGGCTATTGACACACCAGTGGCACAGCTTTTAGCATCACAGCTACCCACCAGTACAACAAACTGACAGACAAGTGCTGTATTAATTAGAACAAAGATAAACAAGCAAGAATACAGATATCCATGCTCCAAGGTAATTAGCTATATGCAGATAAATTTCCCAAAACAACAAACTAACAGATAAGTCCCACTGTTTAGGCGGCTCTAAGTCAGAGTGTTTCAATAATTTGTTCATCACAAATAGCTTTTCTTAAAAAAAAATGACAATGTTACGCATAGACATCACCAATTGGGAAGCATAGAAATCAGACTGACTATGTCTGTGGAAGAGATCATTAGAGAAGCCCAATATCAGCAGTCAAAACCAGGCCAGGTGCTATCTGTGGAACAGACCACCCCATTACTCATGTTCATGTTCAACTTGAAGCTGAAGAAAATTGGAACAAGTCCACAAGAACCAAAATATGATCTTGAACCTGTTGTTGTTATGTGTCATCGAGCTGCTTATGACTCATAGCGACCCTATTTACAAGAGCCCTAAACCCTGCTCTATCCTGTGCCAATCTCGCAGTCTCCGTCACACCCACTCTCACTACCCCAATCACTGAATTGATCCAACTTATTGAAGGTCTTCCTTTCCTGTACTGTCCCTTCACTCTCCCAAACATGATGTCTTTCTCCAGGACTGGTCCCTACTTCCAACATAATCCAAGAATGTCAGACGTAGCTTCAACCAACCTAAATTTATAAGTCATCTTAAGAATAGGGTTGAAACATTGAACACCAATGATTGAAGACTTGTTGAGTTGTTGGAAGACAACACAGATATCACCCATGAAGAGAGTTTGCTCTAGAGAGGTCACTAAAAAGACAGAGGAGAAAGAAGCAACAAAAAAATTGATGTCAGAAAAGATTTTGAAAATTGTACTATGACATCAAGAAGCCTGGAGTTGCAATATGTAGGGATGCTATGGGCAAAATCTGAGTGATTTTGGAAACATCAAAAGAAGGTAGAAAGAATATACAAGATTACTTTACCAGTAAGAATTGGCTGACACTGAGATATTTCAGGAAGTACCATATGATCAAGAGTCAATGGTAATGAAGGAAGGCATTGGTAAAAAATTATAAGGCCCTAGATATCAATGACACCAACTGACATGTTTGAAATGACCGATGCATCCCTAGACCTGCTCACCAGTCTATGCCAGAAAATTTGGAGGACAGGTACTTGTCTGACTGATTGGAAGAGATTCATGTTTGTTTACATTATCAAGAAATAGAATGTGGAAATTATCAAATAGTATCAGTAATACAGTAAACACGCAAAATACTGTTGAAAAATCATTCAAAACTGACTAGAAAAGTACATAGGCTGAGAACTGTCAGGAGTTCAAGCTAGATTTGTGGTACCAGAAATATCCTTGTTTATGGCAGGAGGATTCTGGCTGAAAGCATAGAATACTAGAAGAATATCTGTTTGTGCTTGATTGGCTCTGAAAAGACTTTTGACTATGTGGATTATAACAAATTATGGCTAACGTACAAGAATGGGAACACTTAATTGTGCTCATGTGAAACCTGTACCTAGACCAAAAGGCTATTGTGAGAACAGAGTATGGAAAACCCCCATGGCTTAGAAAGACGTGCATCAGGGGTGTATCCTTTCTCCATAACTGTTTAACCTATACTCTGAACACATTATTCGAGAAGCAGGACTTTGAGGAAGAATGTGACAGGAGGGTGGAGAAAGACTTCATTATGCAGATTACACAATCTTGCTAGCTTAAAGTGAAGAGGACTTTTAGTACTTTCTGAAGAAGGTTGAACACTGTGGCATTCAAAATGGATTGCATCTCGACATCAAGAAAACAAAGATCCTCACCACTAGACCTATAGATAGACGTGATAGATGGAGAAGATTTAAACTATCAATGACTTCGTCTTACTTGAATCTTCAATCAATACATTTGGTACCAGCATTCAGAAGATCAACAAAATTACACTACTAGGAAACTCTAATCAGGGAATTCTCCAAATTATTGAGGAGTAGTGGCATCAGTGTGAGGACTAATGTGCACCTAATCCAGGCCATGGCATTTTCAATCACTTGCTATGCATCTGAGAGCTGGAGAATGAATATAGATGACAGAAGAATTGATGTCTTTGAGCTGTGATGTTGTAGAAGAGTGCTACATATCCCATGGACTGCCAAAAGAACAAATGTCTTGGCGAGTGTTCAGCCAAGTACTCCTTGAAGGCAAAGTGTATGAAGCTTTGTCTAGCATACTTTGTACATGTTGCTAGGAGAACTTACTCCTTAGAGACAGACATCATGCTTGGAAAGGTTGAGGGATGGTGAAAGACAGGAAGACTCTCAATCAGGTGCAGTGACATAGTGACAGCAAAAAATGGGCTTGAGTGTGTCCCAGATTGTGAAGATTGCACAGGGCAGGACAGGGTTCAGTTCTGTTGTTTATAGAGTCACTATGAGTCATATTCAACTCAATAACACATAACACAACAACAACAACAAGAACCTTAAATTATAAAGTACGAACTACAATTAAAACCATTCTGATTTTTAATTTAATTCATCAGCCTAAAAGGTTAGTGTAATTTTAACCTCTACTTGTTCAAATCATGACAAAGTTGAATTGCTCCCTTAGGGTCTTCAAGCAACATTTTTCTTATAAGTGGCTGGTGGGTTCAAATCACTGCCCTTTAAATGGTCACATGCTTAATTCCTGCATCATTAGTGGTTTTTCGCTATGCACATAACTAGGTTATTAAGTACAAAGAATAAAATATATATTGTTATGTCCCTTGTAGATTGTAAAACTAACATTTATTCTACTCATAAAAATCACATGTATTTTATTCATTTTAATTAAGTAAATTTCATAACAACAAACCCCATTCTATAATTTCATCTCTGGTGGGCTAGTGGCTGATAGAAAGGCAATGAATAGTAGCAGTAGTAATAATAGTAGTAGTTGTGGTAATAGTAATAAAATAGTAGTATTGGGAAAATCTGCTGTCAGGGACCTCTCTAGAGTGCTAAAGAGCAGTGATGTCAGTTTAGAGTCTAAGGTGAACCTGATCCAGGCCATAATCTTCTCTTGCCTCACTTTACTTGTTATGCATCAGAAAGCTGAACAAAGAGAAAGGATGACAGAAGAAGAATCAGTGACTTTGAGTTGTGGTGGTAAATAAGAGAATTGAACATGTCATGGACTGTCAAGATAATAAACAGGTCTGTCCTAGAGAGAATAAAGATGTGTAACTCCTTGGAGGCAAGGAATTTATAGCTCTGTCTGACAGACATTAGGCCTGTTGCCAGAAGGGACCAGTCCTTGGAGAAGGATATCATGCTTGTAAAAGCAGTTGGGACAGCGCAGGAGAGGAAATCTCTGGATGATATGGATTGACACAGTAACTGGGGTAATGGGGGTAGATGTGTCAGAGAAATGCTACTGGCTTGGCATAGGGCCGGGTGCAGAGCTATGGTGCATAGGGTCGCTATGAATTGCAGGCTAGTTGAAGGCAAGGTTTTAACAACACTAAAAGATAGGGTTGATTATACCTATTCAACAGCTAATTTAAACATTGGAGACCGGACTGCACTCAATGGCATCCTGATAAATAAACCTGGTCATCTACTTCTGAAAAATCAGGTGTTAAAAATCCTGTGGAACATAATTCCACCCTCCACACACATAAAAGCCGTAAGTCATAATTTACTTGATGTCAAGGGGAACTGGATGAAAATATGAAATTTAAGGATTATGAAAATTAAGAGTTTCCTAGTAACTTCAGTTACTAGGTAAGCAATCTCTTCTCCTATGATCATCGGCCTCTGAAAACACCCCAGAGTGTCAGCTGTGGGCTGGTTCCTACTTGATGGTACACAACAACAACAACAGTAACTCTGAATATAATATATCCAAATGACCACATTCCCCTTTTTCCAGAATATCCATTAATTTCAGCAGCTTAAATGTCACATGAAATATTTAGTGCAAAAAATACTTTCCTTTTAGCATAGTAACATATCTACCATTTTAATCATCTAAAATAATCTTGAATACTACCACTAATGCAAAGAGATCACTTTACAGAGCATTTCAGATCAATTATAAAGACTATCTTTAGTATTGTCACCAACACTGAGTCTAATTTTTACGAAGTTCATTCATATTTGAGTGGCATCTACTTCCTAAACAACAGGCCTCCAAAAA